CAGTCGTGGAAGCGGCCTCGCAACAGCTCTTCGAGAAACACTCGGATAATTATATGTGCACACTGTTGTCCCTCGACGCACTGGAAGCGAACTAATATTGCCCAAACTGCAGACAAGAGGCATTTGTAAAATAAATGCTACTCACAATTTGTGAATATTATTTTAAAAGTGTATATGACGCGCTGGCACGTAAACAAAGGGGTTTCAAAGTCAGTGCCTATAAACCGAAAACAAGCAGTACAGGCACACGGTCGCACACACTGCGTCACCTGAGAATTTAAATTTTAGGACGGAATCGACGGGGCAAAAGGGAAATCGATAGCTGCTCTGCAAGTTCAAAAAGTGGACAAGTGGGGCCCGTGGCACAGAGGGAGAAAAAACGCACGACTTGCCTGTTCTCTTTTTCTTCTCCTCCCGACAGGAAACCCTAACGTTGCTAAATCCATCCGGAAATTCCCTGTAAAATAACGTTAAACAAAATGTTTGGAAACTACCCAGGTAGACTAGGCTAGGTACTGCGCATGTAAAATTACAATAAGAAAGAAACATGTAGACAGATGATCGTTGGAAATACATATGACAGCATCCACCAGCTGTCTGTGACAGTAAATTCTAGTCGGTTAAGGATAAGAGAAAGTGGAAGTGCTTGGATCATCGTGGCTTTAAAAAGATTGCTATAGTTGAGACAAACAAGCTTCGTTTGGGTGACCGGGGCCACACTGTGGTACTATATCGCCATTATAACTAAGGTTTTGTGGTTGTCTCTGGCATCTAAGACTATGTTTGAGAAAGCTGGTTGAGTATCCATTGTACCGGAAGAATTTATACAATCACTATAAGTTCTTTCGAAGTAAGTCATCGCTGTCACAGTAAGAGAAGGCCTGGTGTAAAAGTATACGGACACAGCTTACTTTGCGGACAGCTGGGTGTTTGCTTCCAGAGTTAAGGAGGATTTTCGCAGTAAAGTCCTTTCGGTGGACGTATGCTGCAAGTCTGCCACCACTTATTGTATATTTAAGTCTAGAGACAGGAGATTATCTCCTGTTGCTTCTTCGCGAGTAAATTGTATAGCCGGGAAGATCCTATTCAAACACTGGTGCAATAGATCAACTTCTCAGGCCTCTATGACCACGAATGCAGCATCTATGTAGCGGAGCCACATTTTTTGTTTCAATGATTGTAAATCTTTCTCTTCTAGTCATTGTGTTTACGCTGACCCTGCGGACCAACGTTTTGGGACTCATATTAACAAATATAAACTAGCCGTTCGCCGAAGTTCGCTCGTGTTTGCGCATTCACTTAAGTGTGACCATCGTTTCAATTGGGACAGTACTGAAGTGATCTTCAAACCTTGGACATTTAGCACGACCGGCATCTACGGCTATATCCATCTGGATTCTCGTTAAGTAAGGCCATGTTCACGGCTAACTAGCTTGCGCCCACACCCCAGCGACGGTTTTTAATCCGCGTTTGGTCACTAGAAGCTCCCTGTCTTGCCAGCCTCTGCCTTAGACATGGCGAACCGCAAATGAACCTCTTAACACCTCTAATCGGCACAATGGCCCCTGTCGCTGGTCCACCTTGACGATGTCCAATGCCGTCTCTATGATTCACCATCCGCCTCCTCACCCCCCCC